TATTTATCTATGATAAACCAAAATAACGTATAAACTGAATGGTTACTCTATATATTTGTCACAGTCAAAAAACAGGACAGACAATAGAAAAATGTACACTGTATGTAAGAAAATGTTGACTCTGGTCCTTTGCTTTGAGCTACTTTTCTGCCTTATTAAGCACTTAATTTTTCGTAGCAGGACACACATTTTCTACTATCTAATATTCATGCACGTAGTAAACAAGCTTAGGCTTGTATCTTTGAACACCGCTAGTTGGGTTTCGGGGCTCACACCTAGAAGGGGCCCCGAAACCCAAAAGCCGGGTTTCATTTTCAAAGTAATATTTTCGGTTGTTTTTAGGTAACATATGGAAAAAAATACAAATATATGCGATTATTGTGTATTATTCATCAATTGAAGAAATAATTTTATCTGGGCCTGTCTAAACTTTTTTTTAGGTTCCATTTGGGCGATTAACGTGTTTAATTTTGCTTAAAACCTTTAGAACAGGGCAAAGGGCCCACATCGATATGTAAGTGACTGAATCTGTCATTGGGAGTCTCAAATTGTGACAAAGGACTTACCGTATGTCTAATTATTTTAGACCTTTGACAACTCACACATTCTTTTTTCGACCTCTTAATATCAGATCTTAAGTTTGGCCAAACTACTCTAGATGAAATAAGCTTTTGTAACGCACGAATTCCAGGGTGTGATAAAGAATGCATAATCTAAAAAAAATTATATCGAAACTTAAATGGGATAAACGGACGATCCTTGCCTGTTGATACATCACAAAACAATTATTCAACTGCCTCGTCATCTAAATGCAACTTTTCCAATAACAAAGAAGTATTGTTTGAATTCTGGAAAAGCTTTAGTTCCTGATCAGTTTCCTGTGCTTTTGCAAGCTTTAAATAATTAATATTTTCCAAACAAATCGAATTTAACTCAAAGCATCTAGATTGGGAGGGCGTGACAGGTTTTACCTACTGATTTTATCCCGCATGCCTTTTTAATGGTTGATAATTAACCCAGGAACAGTAAAAAAAAATATGATTTTCACCGCCGCTCAAAGCCGCTATATAGGGAAAATCGAATTTTCATTTGTGAAATACTTTTGTGATTTTTGGGGATCTGTAACTGCATGCCATTTAAACATAAGGTAAAACTAACGTATTGAAAGTCTTGTAATGAAAGGCATGCACCCCGCAGTAGCGCAAATGTTTAATAGAGTCACCTGAAGATGAAAAAAATAATGCTAATTTTTAATGTTTTGAAATTGCATGCCAATGGAAATATTTAATTTTTATCGAAATAACAGCCTAAAAAATAAATGACATGCGCCGCTTGGTGGGGGAAACCTGGAAAATTAGTGGAAAATCTTGTGAAAATCATATTTTTTCTTCCTGTTTCTGGGTTAATTATCAACCATTAAAAAGGCATGCGGGATAAAATCAGTAGGTAAAACCTGTCACGCCCTCCCAATCTAATCGGCAACAGCATTGTTTTTACCTGAAATATATCTAATATCTGTAGTAAACTGTGAAATGAAATCCAAATGTCTAAATTCTCTAAGGGAATATTTATCTGAATTTGATTTGATTGCATATACCAGTGGCTTGTGATCTGTTAAAATATGAAAAACCCTACCTTCAAGTAAATACCTAAATTTTTTGATAGCCAAATAAATTGCCAAAAGTTCTCTTCCAAATGTACTATATGTCTGTTCAGTCGGTAGTAGGTGTACGTTTTTTTAAAAAGAAACACACAGGCTGCCAAAAATTATTATGATACTGTTGAAAAACTGCACTTACTGCAAAATCAGAAGAATCCACCATAATATTCAGAGGTACATTTTCCCTAGGTGATTTTAAAATGTTGAAGTAGCTAATGCTTCTTTAATCTTGACAAAATCATTCTGAGCACAATTTATCCAAACAAAATTCTTTTTCTTATTAGATTTAACGAGATCATACAAGGACTTGCATAAATCTGCACAATTTAGAATAAATCTATGGTAAAAAATGTAAAAATTTACCATACTCAAAAATTCTTGGAGCTTGCGTTGAGAAGACGGAACCGGGAACTGTCGAATTGCTTCAATTTTTGCAGATAAGAGTTTTATTCCTCTGCCATTAACCAAATGACCCAAAAATTCTATTTCACTCAACCAAAATTTACATTTTTCTGGGTTTAAAATTACGCCATATTCTTCTAATCTTTGGAAAATGTTGTGTAAACGTTCTTTATGCTGTCCCTCAGTTTTATAATATATCATCATGATACACAAAACAAAAATCAAACCCTCGGTAATTTAATATTTACTGCTAAAACTGCTTTGTTGTTTTCATTCATGGTTCAAAACGGGGTCACCACTTATTATGTTGACTGAACACAATATTTAAAATTAGAAGATACTTTTTTGGGAGAATCAAGAGCAATTCAGTTAATTTTTTTATGTCATACCAATACATTATTGTGTTTTTATACCTTAGATACCATCTACATAATTCATTACTTTATGCCCGTGCGGGCATAAAGTACAGGGAGATCTGTTATAAATGTCACCACCTATCAAGTTTTTCATTTGACGTTTTTGACAGAAATGTCAAATACAAAAGTTTTAAGAAATTGTCAAAAGTTTTCAACTGTGTCAGTTTTAAACATATAGGGTGCGTCAAAAAATTGTAGCAGAGCGAAGTTATATTTTTTTAAATGGAAGACCATGTTTATTTTTCACCTGTTTATTACTCCCCTTGAACCTGATTTCAACGATATACGGTTTGATATGTTTATCTCTTGGTTTATCTCCAATAGTTATAGGAAAAAACACCAAAATCCCTTCCTATTAGGTCTCTCATGTTATTTTTTTTTTTTTAAATAATAATTACTCAAGACATCTGGATTTATTATAATATTTCATCTTGTAGATAAATGGATTTAACTTGAACAATAAACTGTTTATAAAAAATTTCTCTGAAGCTTAAATGGTATATTTTTACTTTCTTCAACATTAAACCTTGAAAGGGTTTTAATTTTTTTCCCCTATAACTATTGAAGATAGACATATTAAACTATGTCTCGTTGAAATCAGGTAAAAGAGGACTAACAAATAAGCGCACAATATACAGGGTGTTCCATTCAAAAAAAAATATAACTTCGCACTGACCTAGTTAAAAACTTTTGACAATTTCTTAAAACTTTTGTATTTGACATTTCTGTCAAAAAAGTGAAATGAAAAAGTTAGTAGAGGGTGACATTATATTAGATCACCCTGTACATACATATTAAAGCCCGCTCGGGCATTAAGACGCAAAAAACAGTTTTCGATTAACTTATTTTTTATTAACAAAAATATACAGGGTGTCCACTTAGTGCGATATCGGACGATATCTCCTTACAGGGTGATACAAGAAAACAAATTTAAATTACAAAGTTGTTTGATACTCTAATATGCATTAGTTGAAAATATTTTTGAATATACAGGGTGCTCCGTTTATGGGGTATGCGACAGAACTTTGTTATTTTAAATGGAACACCCTGTATGTGATTGCATATTTGGATTCTACATAAAATTCTGAGCAGATTTGACGTAATATACCCTATACCTAAGCTCAACTGCTTTGGAAATATCATAGACTTAAATACTACGAATAGACGTCCAGTGGAAATAGCAGCACAAAAAATGCCTCAATAATTCATAAGATGGCGCCACTCGTATTAAAAATTCAAAGAAAACTGTGCTAGCACCCTTGTGTACGAGCAGCGTGTCATTGTTTCCAGGACAACCGCATTCCGCCTTTTTTCTGATGTTTCGGTGTTGTCAAATTTATACGGACAAAAAACTAGACAAGAATTCTCTTTGCTATTTGCGACTTTCGAAGAAATAAATTATTGCTTGGATTTCAAAGAACTAATTTTCAAAATCCATTTAAAAAAAAAATCCATTTCAGCTTTCACTAGAAATAGAAAACTTAACAATTTACAAAATAAGTGAAATTTATTTATATTAAAAAAAAATCTTAACATTAACAATTTATTAATTTGCGTATAATATTTAGTATAAGATGCAGTAATAAAAAAAATTGGTGTCTTAATGTATGGTTTGGCCTATTTAATGATTTTGGACTAGTTATTTTAGAACTATTGGCAACAGCGTAACGCGCGAATTTGAATTATGACAGAAATGCGCGCCATCTCGTATCTAGCATCTAAAATACCAAAGCCTGAATTGAATTTGGAGGCTCGCTTTCGATAGCGAGCCTCCAAATAGCGTCGCAGATTTTTACCATTTGACTGGACGTCTATTCGTAGTATTTAAGTCTATGGAAATATTGACAGTTGAAAATTGAGTTTTTGCAACTTTGACAGGCTGTAAAACCTAAACGGTTAATTTTAGACGAAAAACCTATTTCACATTTCTGTCTTAGATTTTTATAAACTATCATTTGCCACCAACTTTAAATTTAACCAGAGATTAAATTTAACTGGAATTTTGATTCTCCGGATAAATTTAAAGATGGTGTCAAATGATAGTTTATAAAAATCTAAGACAGAAATGTGAAATCGGTTTTCGTCTAAAATTAACCGTTTAGGTTTTACAGCCTGTCAAAGTTGCAAAAAGTCAATTTTCAACTGTCGATATTTCCAAAACAGTTGAACTTAGGTATAGGGTATATTACATGAAATCTGCTCAGAATTTTACGTAGAATCCAAATAGGCAATCGCATACAGGGTGTTCCATTTAAAATAACAAAGTTCTATCGCATACCCCATAAACGGAGCACCCTGTATATTCAAAAATATTTTTAGCTAATTCATATTAGAGTATCAATTAAATTTTTTCTTCTTGCATCATTCTGTAAGGAAATATCGTCCGATATCGCACTAAGTGGACACCCTGTATATTTATTATTCAAAACCAACTGGTATGACATAAGAGTTTGTATGCACCACATCTTGTATAGTCAATAGTTAATGTTTTTACTGTTTATTTAATTTTCTTTTTTTTTCAGAAAATTACTGAAGTCAGAATAGAAAGATTACCATGTAGGGGTGATGAATGGGTTAAATGTTATAAGCCTCCGGCCAATGACAGAGGTGCTCCGAAACACAACCATGACAAAATCGTTAGTTTTATTTCGGCTGGTAAGTTCTAATTTTTAATGTTATTTTGCACATAAACTATTCGAATTATTCTTTCTAGCTTGGGAGAGTGTATTAAGCCAACAAATACAATACTACTCTGATGGTTTATAAAACTTTTTTAGTGGACCAAAGTGACAATTATATTAAAAAAAGTGCTTAAAACTAATTTATTTGAAAAATGAACACAAATCGATTAAGGTGAAATGCGAAAAATGCTAGTCATAAACTGTTAAGAAAAAAAATGTTTTTTTCTATTTTAAACAAAGGCAATGTCGTAAGTCAAGTGAGATATACATAGTTATTTTTTAAGCGTTATAAATTAAAAAAAAGGTACCGCGCGAACTGCCTCAATATAGTGGAAAAAAAAAGTGCGAAAAAAGTGACAATTATTGTAAAAAAAATGTCAAAAAAAATAGCAATATTGAAGTGTAGCTAACGCTAAGGGCCCCAAAGTTGATTATTTTGGGGCCGAGAATTATTACAAGCTGAAGTTTTTCCTATTGCGAATACATTTGTGCTAAAGAGATGCTAAATTTTAAAACTTAATATGTATTATGGATTTGCTTTTTTTTTTTAACTCAAATCAAGCATTTTTGATTGATGCTTTTTTGCATTCATATATTTTAACGTGAAGAAAAAATACAAGGCATCTTTGGTCTTCTGTTAATGTTCTTTATACATATTATTAATTTATACAAAAAAGAAAATTTAGTTTTGTTTTTGAAAAAGTTTTTAATTTTATTTATTTCCTTTTTAACCTTTATTATATGGATCTGAGAAAGTGGATTATTGCAAGAGAAATAAAATGTAACTTGGTCGGTATTGTGCCATTAAAAAAAACTCATTTTTAATATACATATTTCTCGAAATCCACCCTATATTTTTGTGATTTACATTATTATTCTGGTAAATTCCTTTCGGTTCTTTAGGAATGCGTTTATTAATGATAATGGGTTTTCCGTTTCATTGCTTCTTTATATAAAAAAAAGTTGTGGAAAATTTGCAAAAAATATTAATACACATATAAATAATGTAAAAAAATTGTGTAAAGTATTTGTAGGAGAAAATATTATTAGGGTAAGTTGTTGGGTGATAAATTTGAAATTTATGGCCAAAGTAACAGAAATGCAGCTCAACTGTAAACAAGCATTAATGGTGAATAAATCCCTATTGAAATACCTATTACACACACACACCGGCTAAATTAGGGGAATGGACTAAATTTACACTAGAGTTTGATATTAATTTTCTCTTGTACCCTCCACTCGATTTCGATTAATTGTTCACAGATTTTAGCTTGATTCTTCAGGAATACATCTCACGTATTACCGTTATTAAATGATTCGTCTTTATATCATATACAGGGTTGGAAAGAAAGTCAGTAATTTTCAGAGTTTTTTGAGACACCCTGTGGAGTGAACCACTGAAAATTCGGAACGATTTCCGCACATTTTCATTTTTTATTCACTCAGATATTTTCAATATTATTGAAAATACAGAGTTTCGAAGAAAAGGTGGATATTGACCTTAATTTTTTCCATGTCGACATACAAATTGGATATGAAAATGTGTCGTTTTCCAACCACCAAATGGAAATCATTAAAGGGACTTTTTGATCCCCCTGTATATTTGGGAGCATTCTTTTCACAATAAATTAATCGGTAAGAGGTAAAACTGCGACTGAAACAAACACGACTGAAATTGGAAAACGACACATTTTCATATCCAAATCGTATGTCGACGTGGAGAAAATTAAAGTCAGTATCCACCTTTTCATCGAAACTCTGTTTTTTCCATGATATTGAAAATATCAGAGTGAATAAAAAATAAAAATGTTCAGAAAAGATCAGGCTACAATTTAGTGTTGAAAACTGTTCTGAATTTCCAGTGGTTCACTCCACAGGGTGTCTCAAAAAACTCCAAAAATTACTGATTTTATTTCCAACCCTGTATATGATATAAAGACGAATCATTTAATAACGGTAATGCGTCAGATGTATTCCTGAAGAATCAAGCTACAATCTGTGAAAAATTCATCGAAATCGAGTCGAGGGTTCAAGTGAAAATTGATGTCAAACTTAGTGTAAATTTTGTCTGTTCCCCTAATTTTGCCCGTGTCTGCATTATTTATCAATGCATAAAATATAATGAAAATAGTTACTTCAGCTTAAGCTCTGTAACATTTTTCATGATGGTTTTATTTTAGTCCTTAATTCAAATTTTAATATCACAAGAAATATTGAAAGGTGTAGAGAGGAAGTTTAGTAGTGTATTTCTAAGGTAGTTGGTTACTTACAGAGGGCTAAATTGTAAAAAAATATACTTATATATTTTGTGAAACAAGAAGAATTTGAAGGAGAGTCTGGAAACAAGAAGTAGTTGCCATACCTCAGAAGGTTCTCTGTCATCAAAGTAGAAGGGTTTTCAGCTATGGCCACATCCAACTCACCTAAATTATTCTCTTCACATAGCACTCGGATGAGTTTCCTTGTATATGGACATTGTCCATTGGTGGATCATCAATGGATAGTGCATTTCAAATTTTCTTGGGATAACTGCAAGAAGAAAATTTCATTTGAATGAGATTCAGGGTATTATTAAGTATATTTGAGTAATTATGATGCCAGAGGGCATTCACATAGTCTAAAAACATGATACAATTGGGTAGGTCACTGATATAACGCAGGAACCACAAAGGCCTGAAAACATTATTTGAGAAGTTTTAGTAATTCAACAACTTTCCACAAAAGCCATATTATAGATCCCTAGTATTCTGTTATATACACAATCGAACAGTTAAGTGCCTCCACAAACTCCATTTTGCCCACCTGCAGAAACAAGTCTGTACGTAAAAGAAACTAAATATTGGATCGTGTCATTCTTGGAATTCTCAATAAAGTAATTCTTTTAATGTTACCATTACGAAAAACTAACTTGTTGACTCGGGCATGAACATTGTACTTTCCAGGACTTTTAAATGTTTGCTGCAAATTTTAATTCTTAAGTGGCATTTGCAGGGCTGTGCAACTTAAGGTCACTCGTAAATCCTAGTTGATCCTTTTTTATTCAACACATGTTCATTTAACATAAAAATTATTTATACACTATACATTTATCTACCTTTCAACTAAATTTAAGTTGAAGTCTATGTGGCCTTTCAAGAACCTGATTCCTAATTTAAGAAAAATTGATGTTGGAGCATCAGTCATTTGCAATAAGGTAATGGGCTCTAAACACATACCACTCCTGCTGTGGAGCATACTCGTAATGTAATATAATGTAACGGAAAATTCTCTTGCACAAAGTCTTTGTGAGTTGGATTTTCCAAACTTCTTGACGCCACACTGACTGCGTATGTAATGTCTGGTTTTGATCCTGACATCAGGTCAAGTAATGCTCCTACAGCCTCTATATGGAAAATTTGATATTTTGGCTTCTTTTGGAGGAGAATTATCCTTAACAATTTCTTGGCATATGCATTTTGATTTATGATAACTGATCCATTTTTTGACTTCCTGATTTCCAAGTATGATGCAGGCTTTGTCATGACTTTAAACTCTATCTGTAGTCAGTGGCGTAATTTCAAATCCGGGGCCCCCCCGCAAGGATTTTCCCGGGGCCCATTTTTTATGTATTGTTTTTTTCTTTCTAATTTTGCTTTATACAGGGTGTCCGTTTTAAGTGATATCACTATCGCTATCTCCGAACCGGTAAGAGGGATGAAGTAGGTTAAATTAGATAAAAGTGGCAGATTTTAGTATCCATTGAAGGTAAGTACACAGGGTTGCCAAGTTTTTATTCGTTTCCGGGTTTAAGGGAAAATGTAAAAAAAATTTAAACTTATTTAATGAATATTTCAAAATCTACTAACTTTAGAGAAAAGTGTTCATACAAAAGATTCAAGATTCTTTCTTCTCTACCAAATGGCGTCCTGGGTGGTATGAATAAAAACGAAGTACTTGCTACTACTACAAGTATTAGTATGTTCTTCGTAGTATTTACTTCAAAACGAAGTAGATACTACATTTCGAAACTACCGGAAATTAGTAAATGCTTCTTTCTGAAGTAAATACTGCGAAGCACATACTAATACTTGTAGTAGTAGCACGTACTTCGTTTTTATTCATACCACCCATTGTTATCTTCACACGGCTCGAAACAAACTTATAAATAAGCTAATGGCATGGCCAAAAAATGAACTACCTAGATACAGGTTTGACAGGTCAACAACAGGCCAATTTTAATGCAATAGAATGAAATGTCTAGAAAAACTCTAAGGTTGAATAGAGAACGAAAGATAACGATTTCCCCTGTTCCACCTCCAGCATTCCCAGTGCTTTTTAGCCACCCTGTTGTTGTCTCCCTCCGCTTCGCAACGGGAGGCAGACCACATCTCGCTCTAAAATCTAATAATTTTTTCCCTTGTAGAATAACTCTCATTGATGGGATGTTCCATCTTTTGGTGTTAAAGTTGCTCAATATATTGGAATATAGAATATCATCCATAACTCTTTGGAATGTAGCCGGCGCGTTCTTCAAACCAAAGGGCATGCGCAAGAACTTATAATGTCCGTTTTCTGTGCTGAATGCGGTTTTTCCGATGTCGTTGTCCCCATTGCAAATTCACAACGGGGGCTCAAGCCCCAATGCCCCCATGGTTCCGGCGCCTATGTGTCTAAACATTTCTCTCTGAGATCTCTTACATTGGTTAGACATACTTTTTCAATGGTTTTTATGTATTATGAGGTTCAAAGGTTAGGTTTAAGTATTTTCTTTTAGTTTAGTAATATTCTTGTCGCCAGTTTAGTACTTTCTTGTCGCCTGGTCTGGGGAGGCCCCCCCGCAACTGCGGGCCCTTAGTTACGCCACTGTCTGTAGTTGTCGTAGAAAATATCTTTTCATTTCCTCATTGCTTGAGGCTAGTAGACCATCATCAACATATAAAACTAAAATAAGAATTTCTGTTCCTTCCCTCGTGATGAAGAGACATGGATCGGCATCGCTGTGTTTGAAACCAAAAGATAGAATAAAATCCGTTATTTTTCTATTCTTGTTTTCTGCACTCGGCTGCTTCACCGGAAAAATTCATTTTCCGCATTTGTTAGGTGAATAGCTATAACACACTAATACAAAAGTGATTAAACATGTCATTGCACTCTCTCATATTATACACCTTTTTAAAATATAAAAATAAATTACTGGTCCTAAGACTTCCATGAAGATGTTAGAATATGTTCTTCAACAATTTTAACATCGTATAAGTACATGTAATTAAATGGTTTTTTTTTATCATCATCAAGGATCCACTTGCTTGACATAGTTACTCTGTATTCTAGTTCTTTGGTCATACATATTCTGTTTCATCCCAAAAAATTACCTTCACCAATTAGGCATAAAGTAATAGCTAAAAAAATTGAGACTCTTTCATATCAGTGTGTTTCTGTTGAACTATTATTTTAAGAATTATGATTTTTTTTTTTTTTTTTTATGTCACAGGGTATCTTTTAGATGAGGAAAAAATCCGAATGTAGTGGATGTATAAATTTTTTTTTGTTTTCTTTTTGTATGATAAGCTTTGTATAAAATATTATAATAAAAAGGGAATCAAGAATATAATGTACTTTTAAACTATTATCATAATAATTATTGTGTATTTGTTGGATATAAGTATATGTGATAATTTTTTTTGTAGGGTAACAAATTGTATGTGGTGAAGTGATATTGATGAAATTAGTCAAGCATCTACCATTAAATTTGACTCAATTTCATTAAATTGGTAAATTTTACAAATAGGAGGCATTAGTCTGAACAATGACTACAAATGCCTTTCGATTTGTATCAAAATTTCCTGATAAACAGAAACATACTGTACGATCCACAGCGGCTTATTATTAAAAAGTAAAAATACATTTTTTTGTTTAAAATATTCGCTTTGGTGGTTCTGAATATTCCAACCAAGATTTTTTAATTTTAGTCAAATCGTTTAGATTCAAAAGCTCTTTACCCCAAAAGGTTTGTTTAATTATTTCTTATATTGATTTTTTTCATATACAAATTCAAAGTATTTTCCAGTAACTGTCATTTGCTATGGATTTTACAGCAATAACTGAAATATTTAAGTTTAGTTTTTAAATATTTTTTTCTTATTTATGGAGCTTTTCTAGAAAGAGAATTTCTAAAAGAAAACGTTAAATTTTATGAAGAATTTTTTTTTGGCTGTTTGTTTTTACTTAATCACAAGTATAAGAAACCATACTTGGAAGAGGTCTTTCATTGATGAAAATATTATAATTTATTTTTTGTTGAATATTATCGCATTAAGGTGCACAGTAATATGGATGATATCGTTTTCGTGTAAATTTAAAAAAAAAATCGGAACCAAGAAACAGGTTGGGTTAGTTTGGTTTGAAAATAAACAATCTTTGATTTTTGTTGTTATTTATTATTTATTATTTTCTCCTTTTTAATCTATTGTACAGGGTAATATAAAGTGTAGATACAAAAATTTAGGGCAACTTTTGGCTTGTTGCAAAATTTAGTGTGGCTCACAAGCAACTAAAGTTCTAAAAAAAGCATTGTTTT